AGTTTTTGTGAATCTACATATTCTAGAGGTGGCGTGAATCAGATGTTGATACTAAACAATTCCAAAGATCTTTTAGAGTACATACAATCGAAGACTCTTTCATCTTACAATAGAATTAAAACTTTTGACTGTTCTACACTTTACATAGTATTCCCCATTCCAAACTCAAAGACAAATTGAAAGAGTTGATCCTGTTTTGTTTAGGAAAAAAGAATGGCTTATGTAGATATAAGTATCTTGACTTAAGGAGGGATAAATCGTACATTGTTAAACATCACTCTGCTCTTCAACTTTGTACTTCTTTGGCTTTATAACTATTTTGATCTGAGCGTCACTGATGAGTCTTATGTAGACAAAACGCGCGTCTGACGTATTAAATTATAAGCCTGGTATCTTTGATAACTATCTGATTCAAACAAAAACTTCTATAAAAATGATATCAAGATGCTTGATTTCTTGATTTACAACATATTTGTTACGTTTGTAGGACGTGTTTTTCAACAAACAATCTGCATTCTCATGGGAACCAACTGTCCTCTTCTTGCCGACTTGTCCCTTTATTCATATGAGGCTGACTCCATACAGGGACTACTTAGAAAGAAAGAAAAGATGTTAGCAGTGTCCTTATACTTCATTTTCCGCTGTATAGATGATGTTCTCTCACTAAATAATTCAACATTTGGTGACTATGTTGAACGCATCTAACATAGACAGTTAATAGATATAAGAAGATGTGGTATGAGTGCCAATGAGACAACTCCCCATCCAAGTCAAAATTTATAAAAGTAAACCATTATAGGTCAAAGTACGGTCTTCAACACAGAGCCTTGGCTCACACCGAACAGTAAGCTATAAAGGGTCCCAAAAAATTACTAGTGTAAAACCATTCAAACGGGAAAACCAACGGTCTAATCTATATAAAAAACGAGAAACGAGAAACACTTATGAACCACATCAACAAATGACAACTACTGAACATCAGATTCCTGACTTAGGACAGGTGCAAACAAATGCAGCGGGTTTAAACGTTTTAATGGTACCAAACCTTCACCCTTTTTCTGAAACAATAGTGTAACATCACAACATAGAAAGACACACACTATAAAATATCAACTGAAATAGCTTAACTCAATCAAAGGACATATTAACACCAGTGAACAAACACTGAACAAATAAATTTGAACTATGCTACAATGTAAATACAAAATAAATAAACTAAGGGAAGAATAATAAAAGTAACATGTTATATCGGTATGAAATGTTAAACAATTTAAGAAAAACAATATGCTCGAACAAAAATATCAGCCATTTGCAATAACTTTAAACACAGGTAAATGAAAATAATTGTGTTGTTAGGTATACGTGTACAGTTCCAATAGAGACAGGAAATATTTTTACAAAATAAATAATTTTGATGTTCATAGTACGAAGTAAAAATTTATAGTAATACCAAACACTTATCAAAGCTGGTATATAGACCAGATATAACCCTGAATAACATTAAATAACAAAAAAGCATTACAATTAGTATCAACAGGTCAAATAAACAAGAAAGTACGATTTGAGAGTACTCGCAGTTACTGACAGCTAGTTAAAAGCCAAAACAATTAATAATAAAAAAATCATGCATCAGAGACTAAAATCAACTAAAACACATCCCAGGGATTTAGTATTTTAACGTCATGGACAGTCAAAGAAGACATGACTTGTGCAATGCCAAAAATAAATGTATCGACAGACAGTAGGATAGTTAGGAGTTTAACCTCTTTGTAGACCAAAATGAACGTGGGTGTGTCTTTATACATCCCGTTTGAAAAGAATACAAATTTAGTTATGTTTTAATTTGCTGATGACAAAATCGATATTAGTGCCAATGTAAACTATATTCAAAGATCTAATTACAACATTGGTAAGATAACCTTTACTAATAAGTTTGTTTAAAGGTTCGATGAGTTTACACGGATCACATAGTGATTTCCGCGCTTTAAGTACAATATTACCGTAAAATTTAGGATGTGAAATACCGTTTTTAAATCAGTTTTCTACAGGTACAGCCTTATTTACTAATCAAATCTTTGCATCTATGAAAGAACTTAGCAAAAATTTTACGTAATTTATGGTAACGAAATCCCTGACTTAATAATTTACCAGTGATGCATTGATTACGTTCGTTAAAATCTATGACATCACTACACACACGGGCATAACGAACGAGTTGGGATATATAAACACCGTATGATGGAGCCAAAGGAACATCGCCGTCTAAAAAAGGAAAATTAACAATAGGGAATGAAAAATCGTCTTTTGTCGTAAATTTTCGTATGTAGTTTTCCTTTAGAGATTGAAATGTCCAAATCCAGAAAAGGACAACTACTGCTGTTTGTGTTAGATTTGGTTAAAGTAAGTTCTATTGGGTAAATTTCGGTAGTATATTTAGAGAACTCTGGATTATTTAACGAAAAAATATCATCTAGATAACGGAAGGTATTGTTGAATGTATCAACCAAATGTAACAATGACGTGTCTTTACTGAGTTTGGTCATAAACTGAGATTCATAGCAATACATGAATAAATCTGCTATTAAAGGAGCGCAGTTAGTGCCCATAGGAATACCTACGACCTGTCGATACACTTTATTGCCGAAACGTACATATATGTTGTCTAGGAGAAAATTTAAAGCTTCAATCATATTTTCACATTTCCAGTAAGTGTGTCTAGCATACTTTCCTTTTTCGTTACAGAAAAAGGCTTTAAACGAGTTACAGCAAATACATTTGTAATGAGATTTTTCAAAAGACCATTTAATTAAATATGAAAACTTTTTAAGTAGTTAAATCTGCCTCATATCTCGACTTACATCTAGAAATTAATTGACAATGAGGGTCGGTTGAAAACAAACCTTTACGACAAAAGGGATGAGTTCAGATTCCAAATTGTGAACATTCCACTTCTATAACTTTCTTCCAAAAAGAAAAGTAATCAACATATGAAAACGTAACTTAAAAATTCACAGATCTAACTATGTCCTCTTCGGGCTATCGTATCGATTTCATTGTCCTTAATTATTATAGTTCCCTTTTAGTTTTATTGGTGTAAATCATAATGCATCTACTCGTATAAATGATTATGCTTAAGATAAACAATTACGTTTTTGGTACAATTGTATAAAAACATCAGCATACTGTTGGTTACGACATTGTGGGACGATTTCGACAAAAATTATAAGAAACAAAACTTTAAATTTTCTTATTCAATGTTGATTGTTATAATTGAAAATTCTTCACTTCAAAGCGACAAACTTTTATGGCATGTTAACTGACCACTTAAGGAATGAAAATATTTCAGTTTTTTCTTTTATTGACTTAAGTGACACCAATTGTGATATTTCAAAGGAATCGTCTTCGAAAACTGTATTTGTCCTATGCAAAATGAAGTGTGACAATCACAGAACATTTCCACGGTCAGCTAGACAACATTTTACTTTAACGTGGTAATCAATATTGATACGTACACACTTGATCTTTTTTCAATAGTTTTACAAGTATGGTGTCAAATATACGACATGTACAATTTAAAATTTCTTCACTGGCGACCGTGGAGCTGATTCATACATATCCTAGTAAGGGAGAACACCTTTTACGTATTTTCTGGCAAATTTTGTCAATGTAACACGACGGTAGCATATCAATTTCAATTGTCATTTCTAGAATTAATGGTTTTGTAGTTCATAAACGATTCTGTCAAATATGTCTTGTTGCGCGATACATTCCGTTTTGAATTTTCCTTGGAGTTCGGTATTTTTGTTGTTTTACTTTTTACATGTTTTTGTCAAATATTGCATCTTTTTTCCAAGAAAAATTTGCAATTTGTAGGTGTTGCAAACACCATTATTTGTGCACAAATGTGTTTCCATATATCCAGAAAGCAGTTGTAAAGTTGGAAGACGACTTAAAACATAAAACATACAAAATAGTCTTACAATGAGTATTGACTTAAACAAAGGTCCCAGTATATAATTTCATAAACCTTAACTATCCTATCATTTATTTAATATAACTCTTGTAATTCAATATAAATAACCTGTTCCAAATACTGTAACCACTATAAATAATGGTAAGTTTTAACATTTTTTCACTTAACTGTTTACTATTGCAACATTTAAACCAACGACAAAAAAAAAATCAACATTCACATTGGTTTATTTATACAGTTGCAAATGCTCTTGAAATTTGCCAGTCAGGGTTTAAGGGAGGCACTCATGTCAAGTAAGATCAAAAATATATGAGAGAACACTTAATGTCTTGTTTTGAAGAAAAAAAATTCTCACAAATTTTCCTAAAAATAATTTCAGGAAAAAATCCCCAAAAACTTTAAAAAACTAAAACCCACATTATCCAAATTAACACAACAGAGGGCATGATAGGTTGTGAAGGAAAAACTAATTTAATTAATCTGGAAAGTTTAAAATATTAAAAGAAAAATATGAAAGACATACCCATCAATAAGTAAATAGCATTGACTGCAATAAAAAATTCAAAAAAAAATATTATACTATAAACGATTTTTTTTACTCATTTATGGGTAGAAATTAAACTTCATCATTTCAATTAAAGGACTACGCTTTTTCCATTTTCACTTAATGTATTTCAAGCCATATCTTCTTTAGTAAATTTTCTTAAGAAATAGTATTAAAGTGTTTGACCGAATTGTGAACTTTTCGTGAATTTTAGTTAAAAGTGGCAAAATCGGAACTGAGGTATTCTCGCTGATCAGGGCTTCGGACAACTTTCTGGTAAAAGTACATTTCAAAATCAAAGTAATTATATTTAAAACTGTAGAATAATTCATAAGCTTTTAAAAATCGTTTTAATTTTTATTTTATGTACAGCCGTTCCAGAGAAATGACTTGAAATATATGTCAATTTTACGTTTCCGCGTTTAAGACCTTCCCGGGATTGTATACATATTTTTGACAATAACTATACAAACGATGCAGCTGAAAACCGAATATGAGATCATCCGGTGTGCTGAAGATACTTGCTTTCCTTATTACATGTGTTCTAATTATTATTTGCTACCAAATTCTTTTGACAACATCCATTTTCAATCACATTGACTCAAAAATACCACAGCCAGACCCTGTGCCTTTAGGTAAAGGAGTGGGCAATGTGAAAGTTTTTTTGGAAAACGAACCGCAGGCACTTGGCACAGCTACGGCCCAGAAAAATGAACCGATACATGAAATTAATGTTGTGATTACATTTACAAATGCCAAAGACAACACTAATTTACAACAAAAGTTCCAAACAACTGTTTTATCAATGTTTAAATGGACAACTTTGCCTGTCAACATTTACATAATTGGTGACAGAGATAGTCAGGTCTTGGCAGATGCAATCTTGAAACAAGCTGTCAGTAAATACAATAAACAATACAAGGTAATATTATAATCAATAAACATATTTATTTTTATTATGCGTACAGTCGAACAACATAAAAGACCTTATCGCTATTTGGAAATCTGCACAGCTTGATCTCAGAATCTGCGCCTTTTGAACTTTTAACGTAATATAACATTCACTTTTCATTTGTGGTGTCAGACATTTTGTATTATGGCGTCAACATTTTACGGCAACCTTTGTGATGTCCAGAAATGGCAGACAAAAAGCGATAAGGTGTATGTTCAATAGTAAGTAAGGGGGGTTGACAAAATGGTTGATGTACCTTACTACGACGTCATAAAGCTGAAGCCTTTTTTTTCCGTCTGGATTTGAGAGAATTTTCAGCGGAACTTTGAGATTGGTTTGAAATCTTCGATGAAGGCAAGAAATTTTTGCATAGATATATGTACAAAGTCTTACCTTTTGTGTACTCTAAGATCTGTACTTAGTGTCTTTTTGTTGTTGGGATGTACAAATACCCGACAAGGTCCACTCTGTGTTTTTGTTAGATGTATTTCTATTTGTATCCATCTGATGGGGTAACACGAATCACCAAATAACACCGTTATTAGCCAAATAACACTTGTAATCACCGAATATCACTTGAAATTTTAATATTAGCACATATTGGTGACATGTAAACATTGATAATTACGGTATATAATATTGTATTATAAGTGTATTTTATAACTTAAAAATGATTTATAGAAAGCAGGTAAGTTCATAAAGATCGCATTAAATATTAGTGTGTACATCCAACATGGCGACCAAAGAAAACACAATGGGAAGAATAAAAGAATGATTGCATACAATCCCTCAACGTGTTCATTTTAGACCACCAAAGTGGAGCCCTCACGTCAAGGCAATGAACAATGTGAGGGTGGGCGCCTCCCCTTTTAAAGAAAATATGGAATCGTTTACAATAATAATTTTTTTTTTTAAAGCTTTTAAAAAAATAATATTATAATCAAAAATTTCTACTTTTAAATAAAATATCTGTGTATTATTTTTTTTTTTTTTATTTAAAAATGGAGAGTAACCAAGCCCTTTTAAAACTACTTAGATATCCTGCACAAGGCACGGGCTTATCTGTCATAGTCCGCGATAACAATTTATTTAGAATTTATTGTAAAAAATTAAAACTACTAAGATATCCTGCACAAGGCACAGGCTTGTCTGTCATAGTCCGTGAAAACAATTTATTTAGAATTTTATTTTGAAAAATTAAAACTACTAAGATATCCTGCACAAGGCACTGGCTTATCTGTCGTAGTCCACGAAAACAACATTTTATTTAGAATTTATTTAGAATTTTATTGTAAAAAATTAAAACTACTAAGATATCCTGCACAAGGCACGGGCTTATCTGTCATAGTCTGTGAAAACAATTTATTTAGAATTTATTGTAAAAAATTTAAACTACTAAGATATCCTGCACAAGGCACGGGCTTATCTGTCATAGTCCGCGAAAACAATTTATTTAGAATTTATTGTAAAAAATTAAAACTACTAAGATATCCTGCACAAGGCACAGGCTTATCTGACATAGTCCGCGAAAACAATTAATTTAGAACTTATTGTTAAAAAATATTTTCTTCCAGTTGGACCTGAAAACATTTGCAACAATACTATACATGCATTATTTATCCAGTCTGTCTATAAAACAGCAATGGGGAACAGTAAAAGAAAAATGCATTAAACACAATACAAATTAACTGCATAAACAATACAATATACTTACTTAAACATTAGGAGAAAGCAATTAAAAATAGATTATAAACATACATTGGTTGGAACATATACATGTACCTACCAGTAAAAAAAAAAATACACAATAAAAAAAAACCAGCATGAACAATATAGAAAAATATACACAATACAAACAAAAAGCATGAACAATTTGAAAAAGTATACACAATACAAATAAACAGCATGAACAATACATAATCATCATACAATATACTTACCAATGAAACAGAAGAAGTAAGCAGTTAAAAGTAAGTTATAAACATACAATGGTTAAAAAGTTCAACACAATTCAAATAAACAGTATCAACAATACAATATACTTACCAATAAAACAGAAGAAGTACATGAAGTAAGCAACAAAGTAAGTGCAATAAAAATAATATACAATTAAATAACACAATAAACTTTTTTAAAACAAGTCATTATTTACCCACTGCTGTAATAATAATGTAATGCATGTATAGTATTAAATACACAATCAGTTCAGTCCTTCTTCTTTTTGAAGGTTGTTGTTCTCTCGTTTATCTTTCTTTTACGTTCTCCGATTTTCTTGCCCAATGCCCTCGGCTTTATGACATTCATCCTACCATCAGGCACGGTGCCTTCCCTTTTTCTCGTACGATGAACTGAAATATTTTCTCATTGACTCCACGTGAAATGTATTTTGTTCAAGAAGAAGAAAAACTTTTTAACATCGAATGTCTTTTGAATTTTGCAAAAAAAAAGTATTTTATTAAACAGAAAAAAACTCATATCAAATAAGTTTAAATAATTTTTTTATTTATTTTTATTTTCTGAATAATCAAAAATTCTTTGTGAAACAATAAAGCTTATTACACTTTTACAGAAGATATAGTTAGGAAGTACATATATTGTATGTAGTTGTAAATATTTATTTGTGTTCTTTTTTCTTAATTATTATTATTGGTTTTGGTAATGCAGCCTTGGTATACCAAGACAGTCACAAGCCTGTTTAATGCAGAGTGTCCATACCGTAATATAATTTCATTATCATTTAATGATTAATTATGTAATGGGCACGTGTCAGTAAACAACAATCTAATTAACAATATGATAGAATTGTAAGGTAATAAAATATTTTGATTATTGGGAACTTGGCATTATCACAATTAAATTATCTAATTGGCAAAAAATATTTTATTATTAAACTTAATTTAATGTATTAAAATGGATGAACATAGCAATAAAAAAAAATTAAACTTCTATACTATGAATATTATTTTTTTTTTTCCTTTACTTTTATTCCTGAATTATGTATTAAAATGGATGAACATAGCAATAAAAAAATAATTAAACGTCAATACTAAGAATATTATTTTTTTTCCTTTACTTTTATTTCTGAATTTTTAGTAAATTAAGTAAATTGAATATACAAATGTATATTGCCAAAGAAAATGAAATAAGAAACAAGTTAAATATAATCGAATTAGTGAAATTAATGTCTTCATTAAAATTAAATATGTACAATTTCACATTTGTTCTTTATATATTTCATATACATTCTAATAAATATTATGTTGAAAATATACTTTATAAAATTACTTACCTTTCTAGGGACTTGGCCATGTCGTACTTGTTGTCTGTAAAGCAGCAGTCCTTACATAGGAACTTTAGAGACACATCTGACCAGGACGATAACATTGAATCATTCATTGGGACACAAGCACTGTGAACCCAACGATCACAACTACTGCACTAAATTGTGCAATCAACACATTCTTCATCACATTGAACACAAGGATATAAAGCCATTTTAAAAATGGAAGACAGCACATATGTCTTCATATGTTTTTATACCAAATTTTAGTTACTTGTAAAAACATTAATATTTGCCAATGGAAATCTTTAATTTTCTTTTTGAGAAAATACACACATACGAATCATCCATTCAGCTGCTTTGTTTTTATTATAAAACAATCAAGTATAATTAATTTTTTTATTAAATTTAAATTAAATATGTGAAAATTCTTAATTACGTTTCATTCAATATTGAGTAAATCGTTAAGAAAACTAATTGGTGATTGGAGTAATTGCATGGCTTTAATGTACTTGTTAACTTTTCGAAACCTTACTGAAAAACAATTATTGGACAATACTCTGTATATACAGTACATTATTTAATATTTTATTTTCATCGCTTTTCCCTTTGTATGCATATGCAATCATTCTTTTATTCTTCCCATTGTGTTTTCCTTGGTCGCCATGTAACATGTTGGATGTACACACTAATATTTATAATGATCTTTATGAACTTACCTGCTTTCTATAAATCATTTTTAAGTTAAAAAATACACTTATAATACAATATTGTTTAATAATCAATGTTTAAATGTCACCAATATGTGCTAATATTAAAATTTCAAGTGTTATTCGGTGATTACAAGTGTTATTTGGCTAATAACGGTGTTATTTGGTGATTTGAGGTACCGCATCTGATGAGTTAAGCCTTTTTCAACTGATTTTTGTCGAGCCTGCGACTTTTGTCGCAGAAAGCTCAACATAGGGATAGTGATCCGGCAGCGGCTACGGCGGCGTTAGCTTACTTCTTAAAAGCTTTATATTTTAGAAGATGGAAGACCTAGATGCTTCATACTTTGTATGTGGATGCCTCATGTTACGAAGTTTCCGTCAGTCACATGTCCAATGTCCTTGACCTCATTTTCATGGTTCAGTGACTACTTGAAAAAAAAGTTAACACTTTTTGTAATGCTAAATTCTCTCTTATTGTAAGTAGTAGGATAACTATATTTGGTATGTGTGTACCTTGCAAGGTCCTCATGCCCGTCAGACAGTTTTCACTTGACCTGGACCTCATTTCATGGATCAGTGAACAAGGTTAAGTTTTGGTGGTCAAGTCCATATCTCAGATACTATAAGCAATAGGTCAAGTATATTCGGTGTATGGAAGGACTGTAAGGTGTACATGTCCAACTGGCAGGTTTCATCTGACCTTGACCTCATTTTCATGGTTTAGTGGTTATAGTTAAGTTTTTGTGTTTTGGTCTGTTTTTCTTATACTGTATGCAATAGGTCTACTATATTTGGTGTATGGAATGATTGTAAGGTGTACATGTCTAGCTGGCAGGTGTCATTTGACCTTGACCTCATTTTCATGGTTAAGTGGTCAAAGTTAAGATTTTGAGTTCTGGTCTTTTTTTCTAATACTATATGCAATAGGTCAACTATATTTGGTGTATGGAAATGATCTATTTGTCAGTCGTGCAGGT